ATACTGAATAAGATACTTGATCTGAACTGAAGATACTTCAATTCACAGTTAAGTGAATTGTAGAATGCTGCTGACTGAAAATGGACACTTCTAAGAGAAAGTGTTCCACTGATAAGACATTGTTTCAACAACGAAACTCTGAAATATGTTGGTCGTCCTCTTCTGACTGCTGGCGGATCTCCGATTGGAATGCTGGTAGTGAAGACTCTCTCCGTAATCTCCCCGTGTACTGAGACGTAGACATGGCATCCTTCAATAGAAAGCATAGGTTATCATCATGGCACGATCCGTTGTTGTCGATTGGCTCTTCTCCACTGCGGCGCATGTCAACCTGCAACACCTGCAACTTTTTACTCCCTCCGAGGTTACACTTAACCTCAAGAAGAAGTTCCTCATGACTTAATATCTCCCACGATTTCTCAGATTCTTCAGAATTTGAGAATCGAGGCGCTGACATACTGAAAACGGTGGATAAGTCTTGTCTTACCAGACAGACTATCCTCGATCTTGTTATAACTGACCTGAATACTCTCATGGCTGAAAAAACCATGATTTGACTCTTGCATGGCTGAATCATCTATATTCAAACTCTGAAACTATCCCTAGACAACTTAAATAGTTGCTTCAGGACTGAAAACGTGATATTTACTCGCTTACTTAACTTGATAAGGTACGACTTCAAGTTTCCAGGTAAATCTGAACTAATGGTCTAGATATCAGACCGCTACCTTTTACCCGGCTGAACAACTATTATACGTCGACCTTATAGCATGAACATGAACTGCAAATCATGAATCTGAACTCTGTACTATATAGGGCTGCTCCAGTATCAACTGGTCCCGCAAGTACAAAGTAATTAGCTGATAGCATGACTGATAAAATATCTGACATGACTGACTTGAAAGGTTGTTATTTCCTGAAATCTTACTGATTCGGCCCCAGCTTCAAGCCTCCATGGTATACCCGGCTGAGTGGCTCTTATTTCAAGCCTCCATGGTAACCCGGACTATTGACTCTTATACACTGGAAACCGTTACTTAAACATAACAACCTTTAACATGAAAATTCTTGCCTTGAACATGACTTACTGATCTGACTTAGGAACTTTGAGTCTATTCCTCGAATTAAATCAAGGAATTTCTCCCTGAAGTCTTGCCAATTGATTGACAAAATGGCAGTTCTCGATAAAAATTTCTGAGAGACATGATTCTTACGATTTGTTTAACACAATGCTTACAAATCTTCTGACAAGTTACTAACTTGACTTGAGTAAATCTAGAATTGAATCTAGAGTTTTTAAACTCAATCCTTTTCTGTGAAAGGATTATGAATTCACTTGCCCCTGATACGGGGGTTTCTTCGGCCGAAGAATTTCTCAACATGATAGTCGCGGAACTTCGCGACTACTGAAGCTTGAATAAAAACTGAGTGATCGGGATCCCTACAGGACTGTATCTGAACATCGGGAAAAAGATTTAACATTACTGAATATGCCCGATAAACTTTACTAACTGATTACTAGGCACACATATCCCTTGACGAGTTGCCAAAATTGGCCGATAACTACTGACGTGAAACCTGAAGAACTCTAGAGTTACCTCGGAAAAATCTTAACGTCTAGAGTCATATCTGAATGCCTGAATTCTAGAGTCATGTCCAACCTCTAGAGTCTGAATCTGATTCGAGCATCTTAACTAAAGTTCTGATCCTCAATTCTGAGCATAGACAAAGTAATATGTTTATAACAACTGAAAAACTGAATTGCAACAGCACTTACCTGTCGTCGGCGGGGCGTGAACATGACGGTTCGGGTTTTACTGAAAATTTTTGGACTGTAAACTTTTCTGAAAACTTTTCTAAAAAAAAAATTACTGAAAACTTACTCACTGATAACTTATCTGAAGACTTACTTACTGAAAGCTTATCTGACTGAAACTTATCAGAGACGCAGAAACGGGCTCTGATACCAATTGTAACACCCCGCCTTATTAGACAAATCAGAGTAGCGCATTTATTCGCAAAGTCTGTGAAAACTAAAACATTTTTACCTTGCGAAACTGATTTGGGTGCTACCGTAAAAATCTTTACTTATCTTTTAGAAAAACCGTTGTTTTAACTTATTAAAACGTCCGGTTATTTAAAAACTGTTTATCTGAAAAGTTTATCAAAATATGATAAAACGTCAAAATCATCAACCATCGTCAAAAGATAGTCAAAATGTGAGCGGAAGCGTAAATATTAGTTATACAGTCCAAAAACATATAAACAAATGTCCTGAATGTCCCGAGTTGCTCCCGTCATGTCACACCGTCGGCCCGACCTGCTGACCTGAAAAATAAGATATA